CTCCAGCCAGGCACCCTCAGGACTCCAGCCAGGCACCCTCAGGACTCCAGCCAGGCCTCTGTGGATAGCAGCTACCTTGCCCAGAGCTCTCTCTGCCCGAGGCAGCCACAAAGGCGTTTCCCAGGAGAACATGCAGTTCTGCTGCGAGGAGGCCGCTGGCCCAAGGCCCAAGCGCTGGGCCCTGGATGGAGCATGGAGAGCACTACATCCACCCTTCTGGCCCTGCGGCCTCTCCAACAAGCAGTCTCCATTCCCACCTCCCACTGGGTGGGCTGGGGTGGGAGGCAAAACGTGGCCCAGGGCGGTCACAATCCCATTGCTGTGGGGACACACGCTGCTCTGGGACAGAGGAGCGCCACCAAGCACCCCAGCTGCTGGAGCCTGGGCATGGGCGTGGGCAGGAGGGGAGGGCGTGGGCTTGTGGGGTTGGGGGGGTGTCGAGCCCAACCCAGCATCAGGAGGCCACACAGACACGACGGCCTCATCTTGGACCTTCACTCACCATCCACCACGGCAGCCTTAGCCGGCTCAATTCGAGACACAATTTCGGCAAGGTCCGTGAAGGAGGCGTTGGGACAGGTGAGGACCTGGGGGTGGGGTGAGGACAGCACGTCGCCCGTGGACACCTCCCTGCCAGTCCCCAGCCTACCTGTGGGAGGAGGGGCCCCACCTTCCCTGTGCCCTCTCTGCAGCCCCTAAGCAAGCCCTGCCCTAGCCTTGGTTGGAGTCTTTTGCCAGGGGGGCAGGGCCTGTGCCCTGAGGTGGGCGCGGCCTGGGGAGCGGGGCGTGGCCTGGGCGTGGCCTGGGCGTGGCCTGGGCGCCCGCACTCACCTCTCCCGCCGGCCTCTTGCTCGGCCCCTGCTGGTCCCGCAGCATCTTCTCCAGCACGCCCCCGCGGCCCCAGATGTCAAAGACCGTGCGCCCGTGCTGGTACCCCACTTCCTGTGCACACCCCAGGGGCCCGTCAGGAGGCGTGGAAAGTCGCGAAAGGAGGACGCGGGAAGGGGCAGCCGCGCGCGCCCTCCCGCCCTCCGCGGGCACTCACGCAGATCTCGTCGAACTTGCCGAAGTCCAGGGTCCGGTAGCCGTCGATGGGGGGGCGCAGGTACTCGCAGTAGTCGCTGCTCTTCACCACCTCCAGCTGCCGCACGCAGCACACGTAGGCCAGGCGCGTCTGAATCTCTGCCATGTTCAACACCTGCTGCCGTCACAGCCGCCTGAGTCTCCTGCCCCGGCACCTCCACGTCCAGGCCTGGCCCGTGGCGCAGGACAGGCTCTGGGGACCCATCCTCCGCCCTGGGGCCGTGGGGAGAGCGCAGCAGCACCCAGCCGCGGGTCCTGGAGGTGCCTTCTGGTAAGGGGTGGAGCCTCAGGCCGGTCTGGCCTCGTTCCTCCCTTCCCCAGAGCTGGCCTCAGGGCCTGGGCAGGGGCGTTGAGGGGTGGCCCTGGACCTGCTGGCCTCAGGGCCCAGGAGCAGCCCCCACTCCCCTGCCACGGGACAGGTGTGGGGGGCTGCAGGGAGGAGTCGAACGGACAGCCCAGCCCACCCAGCAGCACCCCACCTTGACTTTCGTGGCCAAGGGGTTCCAGCGTTTCCACAGCAGCCACCAACCAGACAGTGAATCCCCGTAGTTGGTGAGGTCTGTCTCATCTCGGCTGCCCACGTCAATGGCGATCACCACTTTTGCGCCCATGGACCTGGCCACATCCGCTAGGGAGAAAGCAGCCCTAGTTACCGCCTGGACCGGCGCACAGAGCCAGGGGACGGGGCAGAGCCTGCCTTGACAAGCCCTGACCTCGGGGCTGTGGGGTCTCCTCTCCGCCGTTACACCTGCTAGAGGCAGAAGACCCACACCCAGTTCCGTGAGCAGCCGTGGGCACACAGCTGTGTCCTGAGCCTTCCTGACCGCACATCCCACAGGTGACCGGGAATGGCCTGGCCCCCAGCAAGCCGACACCTGCAGGCTGTTAGTTTCTGACTGTGGGCACAGATGGGGCTTAATTGCTCCCGGTTCCTCGACTTGGCCTTTGTTCTGCACGCTGCTGAGCTGACAAACAGGGCCATATGCTGCCACTGCCTGCGTGTGCGTGTACACGCGTGTGCATGTTCTCGGCGCTCTGATGCCAGCCTGACATTTTCCCTTGGCACACTCCAAGGAAAACGTGTTCCAGCCCAGCCTTCTCAGCGCGGAGGCAGCTGCAGCAGGGCCCTCGGGGTGGTTCGACCCAGGAGGCTGTGCTCCTGCCAGGTCCCCCCACCGCAGTACCTGGGAGGTTGTTGATGTAGCCCCCATCCATCAGCAGGTGTCCGTCCTTGGGGTCACAGAGAGGGGGCATGTAACCGGACAGGGACATACTGGCACGCACGTACCGCCACAGGGAGCCTGGGGAGGGGGCCCGGAGCCGCTCATTACCTGGAGGAGGCTACTGCCAGGTCCAGGGGTCAGGGCCTTGCCTCTGTGGTCCTGGAGCTAGTAGGTCCCACCTCTCTGAGGCCCCCTCCACAGAGGGAGGCGCATGGCCCAGGGGCTGAATGGCCTTCCAACTGCTGTGAGCCCCTCATCCCATGACCGAGTGAATTTTCTTTCCCTCATCCTCCTGACCCAGGTGAGCCCCCTGCCCCAGGCCTGAGGGGGCCCCTCACCCCAAGACTGAGTGAACCCCTCATCCCTCGACCCAGGAGAACCCCCCACCACAGGACCGAGGGAGCCCCTCACCCGATGACAGAGTGAACCCCTCATCCCCCTGAGCGAGGTGAGCCCCCCACCCCAGGACCAAGGGGGCCCCTCACCCCATCACCAAGTGAACCCTTCATCTTCCTGACCTAGGTAAGCCCCCCATCCCAGGACCGAGGGGGGCCCTCACCCCATGACTGAGTGAACCCCTCATCCCCCTGACCCAGGTGAGCCCTCCATCCCAGGACTGAGGGGCCCCTCACTTTGTCCTCCCACATGGCATCCATCAGTCTGACCCCATATCACTGATTCCGAGAGGGTCCTGTCCAGCCTTCTGAGGTCTCTGGCCCAGGCTGCGTCCCTCCCATCTGTGCCCCCAGTAGAGGCATCTTGTATCCTCCATGGACAGAGCTGCCCACACGTTTGCACCCTTCGGGAGACCCCACGGCCTTCCTGACCCCCTGGGGCTGATGGGCTCTCCCCCTGCCCACACTTCGCACCCAAGCTGGCCGCCCCTGCATGGCAGGAGTGCTCACCGTCTGTGTGGACCCGCATGGCTGAGGCTGTGATGTCGGTGGTGACAGCAAAATAGGGAATCCATAGGTCCTGCAGGTGGACAGGGCTCAGACGGGCCCTCTCCGTTCACACTCCCATCCCGTGTCTGGGGAGGCTGACCCAGGGCCAGGAGGGGACAGGTGCTACGGGCTGCACGGGCTCCTGAGGGTG